CTCAGATCCTAACTTTGATGAACTACCTGATAATATTAAAAATGGTGATCATGACTTAGATGAGCATAATGCTTGTAGTTGTTGTTCTTCGTTTGAAGATTCCGATAGCGAGGTTATAGATGTTTTTGGTAGTGAAGATAACGCATGTGATGAAGCTTCTTTAAATAGTAATTTAAATCATATTAATAGCAAGGTGTGTTGAATTTATTTATATTTATTTTTATTTATATTTTATTTTACATGGTTTGCTTGTACTTTATGCATATATTTTATTTTAATATTTATACAATTAACTGTAAAAGTTGTGTTTTTATAGATTCAAGAATTGTATGATACCTCTTATTCAAATGTTTTGACTGAACAGGATGCAGAGGAAATTAAAGAAAGAATTAACACTAATAGCGTGTTCTTAACTCCTGTGTACAGGTTCATCTTTTATGTTTAAACTTCTACCATAGTGACTTATAATTTTTATTGATCAGATTGATATACTCTAAATATAAATATACTTTTAAATATCCTCTAAATTAGCTTCTATATTCTATACTTATTCTATTGCTTTAATTAAAACTTGGTTTTAATTTTGTTGTTGTAAATAATATTTGTGAAAGCATATTGGTATTGATGACTTTTGGTGGTCACTTTAAAGTTATATTAATTATTTTAATTTTAGAGCTGAAGGAAAAGGTAATATCTATACTGCTGAATTGACAAAAAATAAAGATCATTTACCAGAGTCTTTAATAGTACCTAGAGCTAACAGCTTTGCAGCATTTACAAGCAATGATAAAAAATCAATTGAGTTGGTAGGAAAAATGGCTATTGGTCGATCATTTAGTGGTTTGTTTTATTAATTTACTTTAATTTAGTTTCGGTATTGTCTTTAAAAAAAAAAGGATTTTATATTAAGTGAAATAATTAAAACATATAGTTATCTTTACAAACAGAAATTATATATTTAGAGTGCAATTATTATTTTTAGCAATTTTTTAATATATCTTCAATTACAAATATATTTATTTATTCGAAAACTTTTGAAAAGGAATTCAAGCCTATCAAAATGTTAAGAAAGAAGCAGGTATTCCTAAGTAGATTTCAGTTTATCAATCTTTGTGAAAACTTTTTATAAAACTATGTTTGGTTTTTTCACTAATCTTCATACTTTACAGATAACCATCATCAAGATACTTGCTGAAATGTCTTGTCCAGGAATTAGTTGCACAAATATCTTGTTTAGGAATTACTTGCAGGAATGCATTAAATTGAACTTAAAAAGGATCTTTTGACTGTAAATATTTTTTTGAAAAACAATTCCATTTCTTATATACACACCATTTTTTATCAAAAGTTTTCAGATATCAAACTTATGTGCAATAAACTAGAATAATATTCTATTATTGGGTTGAAAACTTTACTAAGATATACGGTAATAGCACCTGAGTAAATATAACAAATTATGGGTAGAATGCAAGAAGCGAACTTAAGTCAAGCTTGACTTGAACTTTACATTGCAACCAATAGCAACAGAGTATGGGTTTTCCCCTCAAAAAATCCTCTGCCGCTATTGGTTACAAAGTAAAGTTCAAGTCGAACTTGACACAAGTTTGCTTCTTGCATTCCACCCTATGTGCACTAAAATGATGCTCTATCATTAAGTTGCGCTAAAAAAAAAAAAGTTCAATTTTTTTTAGACAAATTAACAGATTTTATAGAACAAAGTCTTAAACATTGAAAATATTGTTCATGAGAATCCTTAAAAACAATTTGATTATCTAATTACTAACTATTATTAACTATTATATTTTTTAAAAAAATGATTATTTTAGTGTTGTTTAATTAGGGAGGGGGTCCAAAATTCTATATTTCTTGTTTAACCAGTTTTTCTTAATTAAATTTTTGAGGAAAGTTTAAAAAACAATTCAGTTTTTGCTAATTTTTTATGGTTGACCTTTTACTTCTATTTTTAAAATTTAAAGATACAAAAAATAAAAGTCTTAGCAAAAGTTTCTTTGCGTATAAAGTTACGCAACTTTTCTTTCAAATTTATGCTATTCAAATTTTGATTGGATAAATTTGATTTTTAATCTTTGCGTTTTAGAAAAAAAAAGTTTTATATGAAGTCTCTTTCTAAACAAAACGTTTTAAGTAATCAAAAAGACAGATTGCTTCAAAATATCTTAATTTCCTTTTTTTTATTTATTTTTATTTGTTATTCAAGCTATCAAAAAGGCTATTCAAGATTTCATTTTTTTTTTTTACTTTTCTTTAATGAAGTCAAGAATAAATCTTCTTTTAAAGCGCCAGTCAGTAGAAGTTCAGTTAAATTTTAAAGGTTTAACTAATCTAAAGATAAACAGGCTAAAGGAATACGGCTACCTAAAAGGCTTTATAAAAAACAAATTGGGTGATCAAATTTTGAAATTTTTTGCTTTACTCTAAAACGCAGTGAATAGCTAGTTAAAAAAAATTCTAGAAGCAGTTAATAAGTATACCTAGAAGAGGTTGAATAATTGTATAATGCTTGCTAGAGCATTTTGGAAAAAGTTAGCCTCAGGACTTCAAAAAAGAGAAAAGTATTATGTGTTTGGTTGATGGTGGAATATGATTAGTATTAACTTTCTAATTAAGTTGTTGCAGTTGGAAAGCTTTGGAAAAAACCCATTTATTTTCAACAGTGGATGTATACTTAAAATAGATGGACTTGCCATACACATGCAAGACTTGCCATACAAATGGATAACAATGGAAGAGCAGCAAACTTAACATCAGGTGTGCAAGATGAGTTCTGTTTTAGCTTGGTTAAAGTTACAAGGCAGTCCATTTAGCTGTGAACTAGACATTATTGAAGTAGATAAAAATATGTTAAAATAAAAAAAAAAATTCGAAAAATAAGGTTCTTTATTTTAGGGATACAATGTAGGTTATTGTCGCAGCGGCCTATTCTGTTTAAATACATGATTGTTGGTATAAAAATATAAGCCTCCATCTTATGTCTACCAAAGAACACGCTCATAACCTAGATGTTCTATATGGAAAGTTCCCGCAGCAATCTCTATCACATATGATGACTTTTATAGTTATTTTTTATTTTCAATAGTAAATAACAAACTGTATGAATTATTTTCGCATAAAATGCTTAATTTTTTTTGTTACTTATAAATCATAAGGTATATTATTGATAAATTAAACAGAAAAATATTTCTACTTTTCTACTTTTCTTATATTTAATGATAATAATAATTTCATCTATTTTCAACAATGCCTTTTTTTTGTCAATATATTCACTTTTATTAAAATCGAAGTAGAAGGCTTAATAATTAAAATGAAAAAAAAAAAGATAATGATTTTCCGAATCAGCATGAAAAGCTAATTAAGAAAAATTGGTTAAACTATAAAAAATCTAAAAAAAAAAAGGATGATTATGGACCCCCCTCCCCCCCCCCCTAGTTTAATGAAAGTGGATTTCTTAGCATCTGAAAATTTTTTCGATGCTCAGAGACAATCTGAAGAAGCGCTTCTTTATTTTTCATCTTTTGTTAAAACTTAATCAAAGTTTGGGGTTAGAATAACTCCTTGTTTAGCCCTACCTTTCACAAAGCCAAATTTGCTGCATTGCTCTTTAAAAATTGCACAAAGATGAATCCAGTTCAAGCTAGGGGATTGAGTTGCTTGGAATGGAAAGAAACCTTGTGATGTTTGAGTTAATGATATCTAAAATTACTGAAATGATAATTGGTAATGTTAAAATGGATATATAATGGTTCAACATTTTTTTCATTTAACGATTACAATAATACAAAAACATTAGTTTTTGCGTTGATTGCTTAAACCATGTGTGAGTAATTTTTTTAAGTGACATAGGGCACTTTTTAATGAAAGAATATTTTTATGAAGTTTTGCACACAAGTTTTTGAGGACAATAGGAACAGGACTTGGGAGATTTTTGACTACCATCTTAGTCTACGAGGAAAAGGGTAAAAAAAGTTTATTTAGGTTAAAACCATCAACATCCTAAAAATCTGCTACAATATTTTGTTAAAATTTCAAATTTAAAAAGAAAAATAGGTACAACTCAGATGCAAGTATCAAATTTACGTATACTAACTTCAAGAACCAATTTAATAAATAACCTGAAAGATTTGCAGCAAAAATCTTTCAAGAGAAATTTGACTCACAAAATATGATCACCTCAGCAAAATATGGAACACCATTAAATTTCTTAAGAAATAACCTTTAAACTAATATTAAACATAAATGTAAATCCTAATTTTAAAAGCTCAGAACCTACAACTATAAAATAAATTGGATGCTGTAAGTATCCATCATTCTAATCTAAAACTCTGAATATTTGCAGACAAATCACAATAAGAGATATTAGCAACATTGCTAAATGCATGTAGGAAAAAAACATGGTCAAAAATCTGTTAAGTGAAGTATTACCAAACATTTACAAATTTCAAATTAACATTCAGAAGAATTCTTTGACACTGTCAATCTTAAAATTTTGATTCCAAAGAAAAATCTTTTAGGTATTATTTTTCACTATATTATTCTAAAAGTTTTAAAGAAATTTATTTAGTTATAGGATACTATAAGTTAAACATTGTTTTATTTATAATATCCATTTTTTTTTAAGATTTTTTAAAATTTCTATGGAAAATCATTGAGAAAAGGAAGATCGATGCTTTGGTAGTTTTATATAATGGTTTAGTAACTCATACACATTAATATATATTTTACAAACCTACTTTTCATAATGATATATTATACAAACCTACTTTTTATAATGATATACTATACAAACTTACTTTTCATAATGATATATTATAAAAACTTACTTTTCATAATGATATATTATACAATATTTAAGATTAATTGCAACAAAGAAATTTTGAAAACGTTTTACAAAATTAAACCAAATAGTAAAGTACAAAGAAAAAGTTAAAAATGAAAAGTCTCTTAAAATGATTAACATAAATGTAAGTCTTTTCATAAATCTTAACCTGGAATGAAAGTCCAACTAAAAGCAGTTCATTTAACACTTTTAAAAACTTGTTCTTCCTTAAAATCAAATTAACTTGATGAAGTGGAAAACACTTTAATATAAACTGCTGTGGATTACTTTGTTTGCCTGTAAATTTCTTCTTTTATTTTGTCCTTGTCTTTCTTTTTCTCTATTTTTTCTTTTTCTATATTTTTCCAAAGATCAGCATGTTTTCTTGATAAGTGTCAAATAAAGTTGCTCAAGCGAGCTTTTTTGGTACACACATTTCTTCACCACACAATTCGCTTCTTTTAATTCCTTTACTAAAGCCCAAAAATCCATCCACAATTTTTTTAACACATAAAAAATGTTTGTATACAATGTCTGTTTCTTGATTTATAGTCATTACAAAGTTAGAATAGCAAATCCTAATCTTTTCTAAAATCTATTTAACCTAAAATCTTTTCTCTTCCAGTAACTTCCAACACTAATTAGTAGTTGCTTGCAGCCTTGTTGAAAGCGAAGATGTTAAAAAAAAAGAACAAAAAAAAAGATATAAAGTTTTTGCTTCTTATACCCTTCTTAAAATTACATAATCTTTTTAAGTAATTATAATAACAACTTTCAGACTTTTTTTATCAGTATACCCATATCTGTCAGTTCAAGCAATGTTATCAGGAAAATGTATTTAAAAATACTTTCGCCATATTAAATATTATATAATATTTCGCCATCCAGCAATCAGTGTACACCAAAAGTTTTGTACACGGCATATGCTGTAGTTTGCCTAACTCTTATATTCTGTAAAAGCAATGTATGCTATAGACGATGTATGCCATAAACACGCTGCAACTTTCTAAATAGTTTACATGCTGCAAGACTTGCCATACACAGTGCAATTCAGTACATTCGAGCTTTCACTGGTTTATGTAATTGTTGGCTAAACAATTTTAAATTAATAAACTTGCAAGTTAATAAAGGTTTGTTAGGAACGGTTTTTATGCTGATATAAAATTTAAACATCGCAGTCCCAAAAATTCCCGGAGTCCCAAAAATTATAAGGACAGGAGGGACTCCAGACTCCAGGGACTTCTGGACTCCGACTTTGTATCCCTGCCAAAAATAGATATTTCACTAAAATCAAAATTTTATTTTAATATTCATATTTTTATCTTTATATTCATTTTTATATATAACTGTTATAATAATTATAAAAATTATAATTGTTATAATAATTATACAAAATTAAATTTATATTCTACTTGGTTACAACATATACCAGTGGTGCATAGGTTGACATATAGGGGGTGGAAGGAAGAGGGGAAGGAGGGTATGGTCCTCCCCCTCCATCTTTGACCTAAACCAAAACAAAAAAATTTTTTTTGATTGCTTTTACTGAACGCCTAAGTTTCGAAAACAAAATTTAAATGTAATTATGACACCTCATGTTGATTGGTATAACCAGAGTGGAAGCTGCTCTGCCATCTTAACTATCCAAAAATGCATATTTTTAAACTAAAATAAAAGAATGGTGCAATTTTATAATTATTTGTATCGTTATAAAATGTGAAAATATTATTAAAAACATGCTAAAAATTACCTATTCATCTGTGTTGATTTCATTTCTTTTTGGGATGAGGTATTTGCCCCCTTCCAACCAAATTTTAAAAAAAATTTTGATTATTTGTATCGTTATAAAATGTGAAAATATTATTAAAAACATGCTAAAAATTACCTATTCATCTGTGTTGATTTCATTTCTTTTTGGGATGAGGTATTTGCCCCCTTCCAACCAAATTTTAAAAAAAATTTTGAAATTAAAATTTATTACAAGTTTATTGTAATAAACTTGTAATAAATTGTAATAAAATAATACTATACATTACAACATTATAAAATCATACAAACACAACCTTATAAAGTAATATTATGCAATTGCTATTGATGGATGCTAAGACTATTTTAAAATAAAGAAGTAATAAAAATCTCCTTAACAAAAAACAATTTTTAATTAAACATAGGATGTATTTAGTTACTTAGTTGTGTCTTGGCTTTTAGTAAATGATTGAAAATTAAAATTCTAATAATGAAACTATATAATTATAATTTTTAATGATGAACACCATATATATAGTTTATATATAGTGTGATGTCTTTTTTTTCTAAATTAAGTTATGCATAATTTTTTAATGTATTAACCAGTGTTATAATAATATTAAAAAAGAAATGTGTATTAAAATTTTAATGCTTTAGCAGTCCTTGGAAGTTTAAAATCAAAGTCAAGTCCGAAATCATCAGTTAGTGAGTCAAGTGTTGTAACAGCATCAAGTATGAATTCTAGTCTAAAAGGAAAACCAGTCAAACTTTTTTCCCCGAGGAACTTAGAAGGAAGAAGAGGTTTTTAATTTAAAACTTTTTTTTTTTTAATTTGTGTTTTAAGTTTTTATACTACTTTGCCTTCAATTCTTAGTTTTTATTAAAAAAACGTTTTCAAAGCTTTGCAGGACATGACATGTTTTTCAAAAATTCAAAAAACATTCAAATAAAAACTGATGATATGATCCAGTATAGTGATGGAATTTTTTTTAGAATCTGATATATCTGAGTCCATAAAGATTATTGAGCCAAATGACCAGAAGATTTATAGCAGGTATATAATTTTTTAAAAGTGTTTTAGTTTCATTGTTAATATGTTTACATCCAGTGTTGTCATAGTACTGAAATTTCAGTATTCAGTGCCAATACCTATCAAAATAATCGGTACAAGTTCGGTATCTAAATGAAGGAGTAATCATACTGATCACAAACCAAATTGTAAGCATGCATAGTGCACAGCATCATAAATTTGCATTTTTAGCAAAAAACTTGTATTTTTTGTATTACTAGTCATTTAAAAAAAAAAACTTTCTGAATCAAGTAAAAATATTTTCTGATGCTCGTTTCAATTTATAGACTAATTTTTAAATTCTTTTTTTAAGTTTTTTAAAATTTATTTTTCTTTTGTTGTATGTAAATTGTGTTACCAAATATTTCTTATTTTACAAAAAAAGAGAATAATATTTAAATATTATTCTTTTTTTTGTAAGAAAAATATTACACAAAACAATTTTTTGAAAACGACTTACTTCCTACTTATCAGAGAATTCAATTGTAAAGTTGAATTATTCTTTTCATAAAAAAAAGAGTAAGTCATTGAAATTAATCGCCTATGGGTTGGAATCAATTCATTTTAGGTTAAAAAGTTTCTGAACTAGTCACTATTTTTAGTTTCAAGAAAAAAAAATATTTTGTAAAAAAAATAGTTTCATAAATTTAATACTAATACAAATTGTTTATGTTTGAAAAAGGAAAAAAGCGAGTCAACCAACTAAACTGCAATTCATTATTATTTTCAACGCTACTACGCTTTACTTATTGAAAGTAATTCTGAAAAATATTTGAATGAAGAGCAAGCTTTATAAATAGCACTATCGTACTATTAAAATTGCTTAGTACTAATGTTAGTACTGATACACTCAGTACTTTGGAAGACTTTTACAGTAACTACTTTTTAAATAAAGAACCATGTTGGTACTGAAGTACCTAATACCATGACAACACTATTTACATCTATATTTTCCCTAGAATTGATAAATAAAATTAATGATTTTAAATGATTGCATTCTATTTTCATTATACTTCTAAAAAGATGACCATATTATTTTTTGTGTGTCTAATTGAACATTTATTCATTAATTTTAACATTGAGTGTTACTTCTTCTTGGACTTTAAAAGTGTAAATTATTATGGAAAAGATTTATGATGAAATGGAAAAATTATTTAATATAATAAATTAATTATTAAATAAAATAAATCTTGTATAATTATACATACATTTATTTTATTTATTAATATAATAATAATACTTTTCAGTGATAATCAACAATTTTTAACTGAAGTAGCGGGTTATGTCAAGTCTGGAGATGGTGTTGGTTGGCTGAGTACAAAAAGGTTAAGACGTATTCTTGTTCATGAGGGACTTCGTCAATATCTAATAAATCAACTTGATCTTGATGTTAAAGATAAACAAGTTATTTTAAATGATGTTGTAAGTGTATAGATATTTTAAAAAAATTCAATTTTACTTAAGTTACAATAAATTCACAAAATAATTATAATGCTTAATTTGCAATTTTATCGCGTATGGATATTTGCTTAAAAGGTTTAAATTACAATTCAGTTCTTGTCTCAATGTCTCGGCTCAATTTATTTTTCATATTTTCATGTTGTTTTTTTTTAATTTAAAATTAATAATTTAAACTTAGTTTATTAATTTTTACCATTTAAACCATTAAAAATTTTTTTAAAACATTAAGTATTATTGTTTTCAATTTATAATTTCAAGATCAAAACAAAAATTTTTTAATTAAATGTCAGTTATTTCACACATAAAATAAAATTTATTTAAAGAATCGTGTACGAACTTTGATGATATACAGTTATGAACAAGATATACCAACCAATTATTTTTTACAAAAAAGTTAGAAAAAAAATAATAAAATTAAAAATAAATTGCAAAAATGACTGTTTAATTTTTTTTTATTTTTTACTGTTTACGGTTATAAATTTATGTTATTATTGGTAATTAATAGTTATAAAATATTTTTATTGTTGTTAATTAATTGTTATAAATTATTTTTATTGATATTGAATAATTGTTGTCAATTGTTATAAATTCATCTCTTGCGATCTCAAGTCAAATCTCAAATATCTAAACCTATATATAAAATTTTACTAAATATAAAATTTATATATTTAACTCAGCATCATTTTTATTTATGACATCTTTCTTTTCTACTTTTATAATTAATATTATGTTAGCTAAAATACTGAAAATCTTTTTATTAAAAAAGGAAATATTAGCTATTGATAGTTATTATTGTTATTATTAGCTATTAATAGTTATTATTGTTATTATTATTAGTTATTAATAGTTATTATTGTCATTTTAGTATTTGTTTATGTTATTTATTATCAATTAGAATGGCTTTTGTTTTTAACATTATTGTTTGCAACTTTAACAGTATTCATTAGTAACCTTGTTTAAAAGATTTTTTATAGTTTTATTTTTCTTTAATAATATTTCTAGCTGAACTACATAACATTTTTTATTAAATATTTTTTCTTTTTTAGTTTTTTCTTTAAATTTAATAAATGATTATTTTGACAAATGAATTAATTACTAAATTAAAAAACCAAACATTAAATATAAGCAACATAAAAAGCGTGGTAAATATTTTTTAATTTTATCAAAAAATATATTTTTATGAGTATTTAAGTTTAGCATTATACATGCAATCAATTCATCATACAATCATTGCATCATGTAATCAATTCATTCAATTTATTCCTATTACTAATGGTAATACAAAGTAAGTTTGTGGAAGTCGTTGTTGGTGATTGTGGATCATTTTTTGTGAACATCTATTTTAAATAGAGTTTGGTTTCTGCATAAATGATCTACTTGTATCTTTAAAATAAAAAGCTCATTCTTTATTCATTTTTGATATTTTTACAGGTCTTTCTCTACAGTATGGGGCACTACATTTCAGACTTGTTTTAACTATTTTTGAAAACTAAAATATAACAAATAAGAATTAACCAATTTATTTGATTCTTTCTCACATGAAAGAATGTTTGTGAACGTAATCTAGGGCTTGACATGTGTGTTTAGGATATCTATGTAGGTGTTGGAATTAATTTTCAGTTCGGATTTTATAAAAACCCAAAACATTTTATGGTTTTTGATATCACTAGTTAAACTTGTATTTCAGTTTAGAATATGTGGTTTTTCATTTATTTTTACAGGAGAATAGTGAAATGACTTGAGTTTCAAAAGCTTTTATCATGACTGGATTAACTGTTACGAAATTCAAATTCATAGTATCTTGGACTAAACAAGCAAATTTATTTGTGATATAATCATTTTGATATAAAAACTACTTAAAATCATCAATCAGCAAATAGTAAAAGACGATTTTGATAAGCATTCAAATTGAAAATCTTTTGGCTCGGCAAAAGATATCTTTGTTTCTATGTTACATAAAAAATTTAAATTCTTTATGTTTATAATTCAGTTCAAAATATAATAAATACACCCAATCTATCATTTTTAATTATTTTTTCTTTATTTAGTTATAATTCAAAATCAAAAGTTTATCAAAGCTATCAAAAGACTCTTTTGATAGCTTTATTAAAACCTAAAGCTGTGTTTGAATTGCAAAAAAATGTATAAAAAAAAAAAGGAATGTTGACTGTTTTTTTAAATATGTCTATATTATAAACAGTACTGTCAGTCATATGAACTTTACTTTCTTGTATAGTTATTTTGAGCTGCACTGTGACGCAGTAAAGGAAATTAATGGTCTCAATTAGTATGTAAACCAGAATATCCAAAGTAAATGCAGCATGCTTTCAAGTGTTAGAATCAGTTGCAAGATTTGTTATGCCTCTATTTTTAGCTGTCACTATCAAGAGTGCAATCATACCATAAAAATATGTGTGCATCTGTTTTTTTTTACAGATTGCATTGCATGTTGGGAGTTTAGTTTAAATCAATAATATAAATAATAATAATCAATATAAATTAAAATCAATAAATGTATTTTCACTGATAAATTAAAATAACTTGTTCTTCTTATCTTATTTTATTGTACTTGAATTAATGGTAATTTTTGCACCGGGTTTTAAAAATCTTAATGTCGATTACTTGCAATTTGTATTTCTCTTGTTAAATTTTTTTTTTCCTATTGAATTCTGCACAACCATGGTAGATAATTCACTCGAGACTGAATTGTTTGTTTGTTTAACATTATATGGAATATAAATATTCTGAGAATTATTTTCAAAAGTTAATAGTTAATTTTAATTTTAATGTAGTTACTTTTTTTTTAATGTTAATTCACCTCCCTAAGGCTGAGAAGGCCACAGTTGAGAAGGCTACTTTAATTGTGGTTACAACCCTCTCTCTTAACTCTATAACTCCAAGAACTTTGATGAACAAGGCCTCTGTGCAAAAAAACAAGTTGAGTGCGGTCCCCACCATGTCCCCCACCAGGGGCATGGTTAGGTTTGAACTTAAGACTACCACTACACCGCTGCTGCATATAATAATGCAGTTTATATATGTGAATATATATAAATTGCATTCTGCTACTGTCTTATTATCACTTTAGTACTAACTTTAGAGGTAAACTAGTCTTTTTCTTAAGAATTTGTAATACAAATCATTAGCAATATCACTCTCTAACAACAATCCTGGTTATCCATACTAGAAAATTCCACCAGGCCAGAAGCTCAAAACCAATTTTTACATCACTGATGCCCCATCCAAACAGTACACAATGAAATTAACTTTTCAGTCTTTGCTTGTTTTGTTCAGCATGTTAGATATGTCTATAAATAAGTTAGTTGCTCTTCAATTAGTAATGAAAGTTTCATTTTTATTGATTAAGCTCATAGTTCACTTTTGTATATCATTAGTACATCACTAACTTAGCCAATGGATGGAAACAACAGATGGATTTGTTATATGTAAATGTAAAACAAATTAAAGAGAAATAAATCTAAAACTAAAAATAGAAAAAACAAACTTATAGCGATTTTCATAAATTGGAACTATGTTTGAATCATTAAATATTTTTCTTCTGATTTAGGGGATAGCTTAAAATATGTTCAATGGCAATGCTTAACCTTTCAGAGCAGGTACTCAATACATACGGATGGACACCAATGTTTCCAGAGATTTGGGCTTATCCAAAGTTTTTAGTTGTAAAATAATTCTTTTTAAGCTGATTATTTTATTCATATCATTTTCATTTTAGTAAAATTGAGTAACAAGATCAAATTTCAGAAAGGGTTTTTTATTGTTTTGAGTAAATATAGATCTTTACTACAATTAAAGATTTGGCATAGTTCTGAAATTAAAAACAGATTGAGTAAACTCAGGGGGAAGCGAAAACCAATCTTTTATCCTTTGTTTCTCTAAATCAATTCTATCAAACATAAGATATGAAAATTCGTTAACCAACAGAGCAAGTGAAGAAGGATTTTCACTAACTTCGTTTCCAATTTTTGTTTTATCTTTTATATCTATTTTTTATTTGTTTTTAGTATTGTACAAATTTAAAATCAACATTTTCAAAGTTAGAATTACTTTTGCAAGATTTGCTTTCTGTTCAAATGACAATTCTAACAGAGCAAGAGGAATCATTGTTGAATCTAAATACCAACTATGTTTCTATATACATTGCATGTCTATACAAACATAGTTGTCATAGAAACTGCATCAACTGCATTTGGTTTAGAATAAAGTTGTCGGTACTGTTACATTTGGTTTATTGCTTTTATATCAAGAAAGGGAGCTTTAATAGTGTCATTAGCCTGTAAATACCATTTGGCATAAAAGCAAACTGTAAATTCATTTATTAGCCTGATTTCTGTCTTTAGTTTATTGTTCTGATTTATGAACTCAATTTGGCTGGATAGAAGCTGTAGCTTTGGGTAGTAAAGTGCTTTAGATAGGAACCTAGAATGGTGCTCCAGGTTTTTTAGTTTTACTGAAGACAGAGAAAGGTAACTCACAACAAATTATGTAAGCTCCTTTCTATCTTCTCTGATAAAATCTATATTTTCTTTTCCCTTTGTGTTGTATTCTTGACAAAAGTTTAAAGACTCTAGTGCAGCTTTCTCAAGAAAGATTCCCCTTACTGCTTTCTAATAAAACTTTATTAGTTCTGTTTGATTGTAATTAAAATGAGGACATTCAAAAACAGCTTTTAATTTTTTAAACATAGGATTATCTGGTCCTGTAAAATGTTTATCTGAAACTGAATTAAAAAATAAACCATTCTTAATTCACATACATAATGTCTGCATGCAATAAGTAAAAGATATTTTCCTATATTGTTGGATATTCTTATTAAAGAACCTTTCTTTTACCCAGTGTTACTTGCAGTATCAAAACATATTCCTCCTACTTTGGCTTCAAGATTGTATTCCTTAAGAAGGTCCATTACACCATTTCACTAGACTTTACCAGAGGATGACACTAGGAGTTACTCCAAGCAGGTTTGTCTCACCTTCAATATTTACAAGTACAGCCAATCTATCATTTTTAACTGTTTTTCCTTTATTTAGTTCATTTAATGTTTTTCCATCAAAATATACTATGCATGGGTATGGGGATTTATTCATTGCTTGTTGAACATCTTCTTTTGATATTATGCATATATTACGAATGGCATATTTCATTTTCCTAGCTGCTGTAGACTGGCTACATTTAAAATATGTCAGATCAGCTCCTGATTGAATTAGTAACTCAATCTGTAACTTTATGCAAAACACTAGAAATATTATTGATTGTAGCCATAAGAGCTACATTACCAGCAAAAACATCTATGGGAATTTCAGCAGTGACTTTTTTTTGAAAAGGTTTTCTTTCTAAAAACTCTCCAAAATTAAAATTGGAATCATGCGAGGAGTCCTCACTAGTATTTGTATCAACCTTAACATTAGTTATCCCATGTAATTCTTTATATTGTTGTTTCACACTGTGCTTTCTCTTTCTGCTTTCTGCACTGTTGCCTAAGAATATTGAAAGAATTTAATAATTAATTTAGTTATATGAGATTTTGAAATAGTGAGTGAACATTGTTATTTTTGTTTAGTTTTTTTTTATTTAAATCTTTTAAAGTGGCTTGCAAACTTTAAGTTGCTTAGAAAACCTTACAAATCTTTTTTTTTTTTTTTTACTTTTTATCTTCTAATCCAAGCATAAATTTTCTTTCCCCTTCTTGGTCCTCCAGAAACTCCAAATCCTCAAGTTTGTCTGAATCAGATCTTTTTTTGTCGTTTTTAATTGTATTTAATTGTATTTCATTTTTAATTGTATTTTTTGTTCAGGTAAACTTTAAACTCTTGTTGAAAGTGTCAAGTTCGATAAAGAAATGCAACCTTAGCAGATGCTAATTTTGCAACGAATTTGATATATGTTAAAATTCTTTTAATAGAATAAAATACTTTTTTCACAGTTAAAAAAACATTAAAAATTGAGTTAAAAGCAGTTAAAAAAAACATTAAAAATTGAGATTCAAAAAGTTAGTAAATAAAAGAAATCTAAAATGTTTTAATCATGAATTAAATCAAACTTTAATTTAACATGTTTACTACAATTTATTTAAACATTATTAATCATAAGGTTTTTTTTTACTTTTAGCATATCTCTCGTAATGTCTATCGCGGCTATTTAGAATTGTTAAAGTTGATTGTGGAAGGTTATGAAAATAGCATGATAAAGTGCGGTTTAGGTGGGCTTAGCTCTGTCTTTCATTTTCTTGAAATAGCACATCGATACTATTGTGGTAAGCGCTATCATGATGATTCAACTCTAACTGATGAACCTTCTACAACTGGAAAAAAATCTGAAGGGTTGAGCAATGGGATTTTAAAAGACTCTGAAGACCACGATAGTGATCGTAGTCAGCATTATCATAGAGGTGAACAAATGCTTTTATCATTTTTTTTAATTTTTTATCATTTTAATAAATTTTTTAACAATGTATTAAAGGGAGTTCGTTTTTTTTTTTGTAAATTTTTTTGAATAAATTTTTGATGACAGAATCATACTGAAATAGAAGCTAAATCTTTAATACATATATTAATTAAAGGTTCGGGAGGCTATTGGTATGTATCAAAACAATCTAGTATAAGGTTTATAATATAATTATAATTTTTTTTTGAATTATAGTTCTTCTGTTATCATAATAAAATTATATATATATATATATATATATATATATATATATATATATATATATATATATATATATATATATATATATATATATATATATATATATATATATATATATATATATATATATATATATATATATATATATATATATATATATATATATATATATATATATATATATATAGTTTGACAATTGTATTGCTTGGATAGGTTTCCATAATGCTGTTTTCTTTTTTAAGTAACAGAAGCAATAATTTATATTGAAATACCATTACCCTGTTTTTGCAGATTAGAACTGAGTATTTTTTTTGTGATACTACCATTAGAAAAATTAGCATTCTAAGTTTAGAACAACACTAACCACCCACCCACCTACCTACCTACCCACCTAATTACCCACAATTAAATTTAGGAATTATGTATTTTTATGGATTATGAGTTTTTCATTTCCTAAATAAGTGGAATCCATCACAACTGAAGAACTTCACTTACCTTGATATAGGATCAGTTTAATGTCATAATCAAGATCACAACAATGTCATCTGGTGATGAAAACACATGGAGAATCACAGAGTGTGTTAAATACTTTTTGGTTTTTATCATTGATGTTTTGGGAAAAGTTTTTGCTCAAATTAATTAGGGGCCATAAAATCTTTTACTTTAAAGTTTATTCATATATATTCATTGGCTGAAAAATTATTTAATTCTAATGTTGACTTTATGATTAACTGGTGCATCAACACTCAACACAACTGGTGTTGAGTGCTCAATCAGCACTTATACTACATGTAATTGGTGCATCAGCATTCATACTATATGCAACTGGTGTATCAGCACTCATACTACATGGTGCATCAGCACTCATGCTACATGTAACTGGTGCATCAGCACTCATACTACATGTAATCTACTTGAAATACACATATCTCTTAATGTAAATATTTTCATTACTTATATGTGTTTTATGTAATGATACATGTAATTTTTCTAAGATTTTAAAGAAAACAGTATTGCATTTTATTTGGTTTTGAAGAAATATATCAGTAAATTTTAATAGAAAGTTCTTCAGTAAATGATTTTTATTATTTAATAATAATATATCTAAGGATGATAGCTTATATTTCTATTGGTTAACAATGATTTATATTGGTTAATAATATACCTAACAATGATTTCTATTGGTTAATAATACTTAGTTATGATAGCTACAGTTACATGATAACCTAATGAAAAATTATACGTAACTTTTTTTGTGCAATAATTTTTAGATCTTTCCTTTTTTTCTAAACCCAAAATCAACATTGAAAAAAATAATAACAAAAAAACTTCATTACAAAATCATGGATCTTTAACTCAGAATGATGGATCTGAAACTCAGAATGGTGCATCTGAAACTCAGAATGGTGCATCTGAAACTCAGAATGGTGCATCTGAAACTCAGAATGGTGCATCTGAAACTCAGAATGGTGCATCTGAAACTCAGAATTGTCAGATTCAAATCAATTCTATTCCGATTGCAAATGGGCTAAAAAAAATTCAATCCAAGTATTTGGTGACCAAAAGTAATACAAGGTGATTTGATATTTATTGTTTTTAAATTAGTAATAAATAGAAAAAATTTTTTTTCTCTTTCTTTGACTTTCTAAACTAAGTTAATTTTTTTATTCTTTTTTATTTTTTATGTTCTTATTAAGTTTCAAAAGATAAAATCATGTAATTAAATCTTCTTTTAAAAAAAGTCTGATACCATATACATGCTGTTGAAAGTTTCTCATTCAACAAACTTGGGAGTAATTTTTTCACTTCAAATGTTAAGCACTTTATAATCTTTTGGCTAATAGTAATGATTACCTTGAAGTATCGAGTGACCTTATTTTTAGATTACTTATTTACAGATCATTTATTTATTTATCACTCAGTTTTATTTTATAACTTTTGTTTAATCTTTTTCAAATGCAAAAATTAATCTTTGTCGCCAATTTAAGCAAATTTTTAGCTTGTCTGATTTAGGATTTTTCAGGTCCGAGTACCCGGATTCAGACTTGGAGAGTCCAAGAACAAATACCCGGATTAGATACCCAATCTAAGACTCAATTAGTCTTATCATGGTCCATATATGTTTCCCAAATTATTGTTTTTTTCAAATTGTTTCTTTTATATTGCCTAATTTTATAATGTTAATACAAATTACAAGAGATAATGAACATAACGATGTCTCTGCAGGGACGTCCCTTGACCTGTTTTGGTACTGCTGGGCACCTAAAAAAAAGTACCCAATAATATTTTTATTTTTTAATTTTTATTTTTTATTAAAAATAGAAAATTATTTTATTGTTTTAAATACATTGGTATATAACTGATTTTCTTTTTATTTTAGCAACTTCATTTTTTCTTCAGGACAACAAAATGAATTAAAAAGCAAATGCTTTTTCACGTAAATATGTTACGTAACGCAATGTCAGCTTTAACAAATCGAATGTTACTAAACCTAATTTTTAAAACTTGTTACAAAATTTTACAACAATAAAATGTATAAAATATTTGTTACTTCGAAAAATAGAACATTTTAAAATGACCATTCAGAGTAAAGTTAACTTTTTGTTTGTTGGCAATTAAAAGTCAACTGTTTTTGTAAGTAAACCATTCAGAGTCAAGTTAACTTTTGATTGTTGGCAATTAAAAGTCAACTGTTTTTGTAAGTAAACCATTCAGAGTAAGGGTAACTTTTGTTTGTTGGCAATTAAAACTGCTTTTGTCAGTAAAAACTTCAGTCTTAATAACAATCTCTCAAATTAAATTTTGAATAAACTTTTGATCATTTGATTGTTGTAAAATTTACATCTGCTTGCTATTTTATTTTATTTTAGGAAAGCCAAAAAACAAAACGTATTTTTTTTCATAAAGAATGTTTCTTTTTTATATTATTTTTGACTTGAATAATAATAAAAACAACGATTACAATAACTTAATAAAGTTTTCATTAAGATCTAATTATTTTAAAACAATGTCTTTAATGTAACTTATTTATTAAACGTGACTGTTTTTTAATTATTCTTAATGATCAAAAAAATAAAATTTCTTAACTTAATGATTAAAAAAAAAATTTTTTTTAATCATTAAGTTTACTGTAATAATTTCTTCTATAATTAACTTTAATTTAAAATCCACCTTAAAATCACTTTAAAAATTATTAACATTTACTATAGTAAATGTTAAATGAAACAGCTTTGCTAGTATTAAAATTAAAGTTAAAATTAAATTTTTAAATTTGATTTTAACTTTAATTAAAAAATTTAAAATTAAATTTAAAAGTATAATTTTTAATAAGATTTAATTTTTAAATTTTATTATATTAAATCAAAAGCATAAGTTTTTTATTCGAATAGTTATAGTCTATGTGTATATATAGATGTATAGACGATTATTATATATAGACAATAACTATTTGAATACAAGACTTAAGCGTAATTACTGTTGTGTTAACTTTAAATATTGATTAAAAAATGTTTAAAGTATCTAAACATTTAATTACTTTTAAGTATAGTTACTAAATGTTTAAAATACTTAAAATAATTTTCAATAATGATTTACAAATAGCTACAAAAGCGTTTATTAAAATCTTAAAATAGTTTTCCCTAGTGTAACTAAGTGTAACTAAGTGTAGTGTAACTAAGGCAATATGGTTACGTCCACCTGTAATTTCATGTATTAAAAGAAATGCCTTCAAATAAACTTCTTATCTTTGGATAAAACTAAACAAGATAAACACAAATGATTAAAATGATGACTAAAAATCATTGGGGAAGAATTTTTTCCTCCCCCTCCCCCTCACATTGCCAAAAAAAAAGCGGTATCCTCAAATAAAATTTAGGTTCGTCACTGCTCTGAAAAAATGATATGTTTAAAAAGATGTATTTAAAAACTTGAAAAAAAGTTTTAAATAGGCTCCTAAAATTTTGTTAAAAAAGTTCAGTAAATTAATAATGCACTAGCCCACAAGCTTTTGGAACGTGGTCAATAAAAATAGTTTGTCAGGAAACAAACTGTCAGGTTTAAATATGCAATTTGGAGAATTCAACGAAAGTGCAGACTATTTCAATGGGGATAGTGAAAACAACCAATTGTTTTATATTTGAATTTTTATGTTTTTAAATAAAAAACATGTTAAAAAAGTATAGCAATTTTTTTTTTGCTTTCCTGTGCATTGATTTAAAACAGTAAAGTTTAGGAAAAACATTTAAAAATTGAATTTAAAAATTGTCCATATTTCTAGCGCAAATAATAAAGTATTTCCTTAATAAACTGACTAACGAAAGTCACAAATAAATTGTATATCAAAAAATTATTTTGTTTTTGTTTTATTCTTATCTGCTTTTTCCTCAAATTGTATGAATTTTGTTAGCAAAAAATAAACGTTCTAAAAAAAAAACAGTAAAATATTTCGATAAACTATTTTTTTGACAAAATTTGTATATATATGCATATATATATATATATATATATATATATATATATATATGTATTATATATATATATATATATATATATATATATATATATATATATATATATATATATATATATATATATATATATATATATATATATATATATATATATATATATATATATATATATATATATATATATATATATATATATATGTATTTATATATATACTATATATATATATATGTGTGTGTATATACATACATGTATATATATATATATATACATACATATATATATGTATATATATATATATATATATATATATATATATATATATACATATATATATGTATGCAAGCCTTGTGATAAAGATGGAGCAATCGTTCCATGCACGTGAAACACGCTGGTAAATGGTCTTCCAGGCGCAACAAATAGTGCTTGCTAATTTTGTTACGAGAGTAAAAAATCACAGTTGTCTGAAGAACTTGCGAGAGAAATTTTGAGAGAAAAGTTGCTTTTATAGAAAATAATTTTGATAAAATTTTTTTGCTGAAGTCAAATCATGTTTAATTAAACAGTAGAGTTTGCATATTGTTAAATAATAAATAATACTAAGTTATATTTGTTATAAAGTATGTGTTGCATAAACTAAATTTAAAAGTCTCAGTGTCAGAAAGCCAATGATTTGTATCTTCTATTTGAAAGTTAAATTCTACATGAAATTTTTTATTATTTTTGTTGAACTTTATCATATTATCCCATAATTGTCCCCTGCTTAAGTCAAACCATTTGCTCACTCTCACAACTCACACATTTTTTTGGGGTCTATTTGAAAAAACTTCACCCAACTAGGACTTTTACTTTGAATTGGAAAAGTCCATGTAATAAGATATCAAGGCTTGCAACACTTCAATTAAAATTCCAAACTTTGAATGCTTAAAAATTAAATATCTAGCGTAATCTTTTATTTATAATAATTCATAAAACTAAAACTTCATTAATAGCTTTGATTTCATACAAGTTTGATCACATTCTATTTATTAATGACTATTATATTTAAAATTCAAAAACATCTAATCAAATTCGAAATGTTCAAGCATCAAATACTTTTGTGTCAGATATAATTTAATAAACTAAATATTTTTACTGATATCTTCAAATTGATCTAGCTTATAATAAAGTCTATTTATTAAAAAAGTTGAAAATAAACACAACTAAAAATTCTCAGAATTTTTAGTTGTGTTTATCATTTTCCCTCAGAATTAGGAAAAATGAGGTTGGCAATAATTTGCTGATCTTAATCTTTTAGAAGTTGGCATCGGTCGACAAAAAAAATTTGATACAAAGGTCTTACCATAAAGGATAGAAACCAGGTCGGCAACTTTTTGCTGACCTCAAACACTTTTAGGTCAGCAGTTAGGTCAACTTTTTGTATAATTTGACTCTTGAATCTAATGGCCATATTCTTCCTTCCATTACATTTAAACAGGTTAACCCTTGTCATATTAGTCATTCAAATTACTTCGACTTCTGTTGCTAAAGTCATATCTCAATTAAACTCTTCTACGGCTTGTGTTCTACACAACATCTCTGTCATAGTTGTCAGAAATCTTTTCAATTTTCTCTATACTATTTAAAAAGTGCTTGATTGAATATTGTTTTCCTGCCTGCTGGAAAATGATATCTTAAATACCAAATTAAAATATCTACAGAGGTATTTAAATATTACTAAACAAAAATGTTTTTAGCATAGCGTAAATAGCAGAACGTAAAATCACCCTTGGCATATGTAAAGTTCTATCTAAATCCTTTCTTCTGAAAAACTGATAAATGTTGATTAGACTCACACCCTCGTAGATCAACCTTACCCCACCCTGCCCTACAAGTAGTAGGATAAGTTAGAAACAATATTATTTAAAGATTATAAAGAAGATTCTTTTTTAAAAAAGACGAAAGTGGCAAAAAATTTAGATTCTAATTGAAACAGAATTTAATTGTTAGAATTATAATTAAAGTTTATTAAGTGCAAAATATTATTTAACTTTTTTTTTCAGTAATTAATAGTATACATATTGTTTTTTATTTTTATTAATATTTATTTTGATTTAGTGGCGGTTTTCGATATAACTCTGGTGTATGCGAGAAATCTACTTTTGAATTGGCTGGTAGAGGTGTAAATGGGACAGGAAGACGCTATTTATTTGAAGGTTTAAATCATAATCGGGCTACCATCTTATGGGATAACATGGATTTTTGGGAATATTCATTCCTAGATTCAGTAGCATCAGAACGTGAGGCAGCTGGTATGGATGTTAATCATCTAGAGTTGATAAATAGGTGAATTTTTCGAACTACTTTTTTTTAATGGTTGTAATGGTTGCCTTAATTAATTACAATTTTAATTTTAAAATTTCTTTTTATAGATTATTGAACAACAATCTTTTTTTTTAAACAAATTTTAAACTTTTTTTTTAACATTTTTTTGCAAAAACTTTATGAGTTTTTATTGTTCATTCATTTAATAATATTTAGAGTTAGACTTATTTAAATAAAGGTTGAAAGTAAAGTGCTCTTGCTTGTTGATATATTTTGCCTGTAGAATCTTTAAATATGATTTCTTGTTTTTCTTATTTTCCTTATTATTGTTCTTTTTTATTTGATTATTCTTTTTATTTTTAAAAATATTTACATTATTATAAATAAAGCATCTTTATTTAATAGCTTTGACACCATCAGACTAAAAGTCTAAACTCTTTATTAGATTTTGCAGAAAAGGAAAAGTTTTTCAAACTTCAAAATATAAAAAATTAACAAAATTTTCAAACTTTTTTATTGTTATTTTATTTAAGAAAAAAGTTTTTTTTTATTGTTGCTAGTAATTACTAATTACTATTTTACTTATGGCTGCTGTTATTGATATTGATAATATTATTTTATTTTTGTTGTTTTCATTTGCTAATATGTAGATATAAATCATTAAGTCCACAAGAAAAACACCTTCTAGAAGAAGATGAAGATAATTTGCTTGCAGTTTTGCTGCACAATATGATAGCTTTTATGTTATGTATGGATGTTTCGAAAAAGGAAATTAAACGTAAAATCCGACGCCTTCTTGGAAAGTCTCATATAGGTTTGTCTCAAACTCATTGGATAGACAATCTCCTTGATGATATAGATAAACTGGTACTTTATTTATTCTGATGTCACAGCTTATTTTATTATTACTTTTTTATTCTATATATCCAATAGTATATTTTATATATTTTATATATATATGCTATATATCCAATAGTATATACCGTGAGCCAATAATGTTACTATAGTAACTAATTTAAAAAACTACAGTAATAAATTGTATGAAATGAAAGGTTTTAATAAATGAAGGGCAAATTTTTTCATCTATTTTTGTTTTTAAAATTTGTTTTTACAAGAAATATTTTGAATGATTATAGATTTATTCTGAATAAAAATTACGTATTTACTTTTGGTTCACTTGTAATTTTGTTTTTGTCTATTCCTTTAGGTGAATGAACATTCAGGTCTATTCTTTTAGGTGAATGAACATTCAGTTTATTCAAAACAAAAAAAAAACAAAAAAAAAGTAAAAAACAGAAGTTTACCAATAAAATAGAAATTCTTTATTAGAATCTGCTTCATATAAATTTTGTAAAAAAAACAATTAAAGATCATACTGCATTGTGTTTGTGCAGATCTGTGATGTGCTCACATCATTTTGGAAGAAAAAAACAATAAAATATCATACTTTATTGTGCTTAGGTCACTTTCTAAGAAAAAAAAAACAATAAAAAATCATACTGTATTGTACTTAAATCACTTTGTAAGAAAATCTTTTTTTTTACAAAAAATTTTTGTAAAGTATATATATATATAGTAAAGTATATATATATATAGTAAAGTATATATATATATATATATATATATATATATATATATATATATATATATATATATATATAATATACATATATATATATATATATATACATATATATATATATATATATATATATATATATATATATATATATATATATATATATATATATATATATATATATATATATATATATATATATATAATATAATATATATATATACACATATATATATATACACATATATATATATATATATATATATATACATATATATATATATATATATATATATATATATATATATATATATATATATATATATATATATATATATATATATATATATATATATATATATATACATATTTTTATTAAGAAATAAAATTTAAATTATGATTTTACATTTTAGGAAGGAAATGACATTGACTTAATGATCCCTAAGAGTAGGTTACTGAAAATACAAATATTTGTTGTTCACTTAGGAGATAATCAAAGTGGAACTATGATTTTCCTTGAGGTATTTTTTTATTTTTTTTAAATTTGTTTTAAATAGTTTATAATTGTTGTAAATCAAATTTAATAGTTGTAAATCAAATATAATTGTTGTTAATACATTGTAGTTGGTATTTTGTTAAATAAATGTTATTACTACGTGTTATTGATTTAAACATGTATTAAACACCTGCCTCAAGATTGCCTGAATTTGTTTTAAGTGATCAAAAAAATTTGTCAAGACAGGAATATCAAGTTTAGTCATTGTAGATGAGAAACAAACATACAGGGCAAAGAATAGAACATTGAGGTACCCCAGAAGTTACTGGAAATGAAGAAGAGTGTTATCTTTTGACAATGACTTTAATATTGTGATTCAAAAGAAATGCTTTAATAATCTCAAAAACTTTCTGTTAAGATCAGCACGCCAAGTTTTATTGAATGTTTTTGGTATATCAAGATCAATAGCTCTCGCCTACCTGCTACCACCTAGTTTATCAGTCAATTCAGTTAAGTACTTATTAAATAGTTTAGAGAGACTTGAAGTTGAGTTCTGGAGAACACTTTTGTAAGAGTTTAATTAGAAAATGACTTTTGAGAAGTGATTTGGATGTCAAACATGTTTAACTAGAAAAGAATAGATCATTAGATTTAACAATCGATTCAAGACTATGAATATTTTTTCATTCAATTATGACATCACAGAAGAGTTAAAGCAACTTACTAAATCTTCTTTAAACAAATCTTAAATATTACGCCTTTTTTTGAATCGCTATTTATATTTTGAAATAATAACTTTGGTAAAAGTACGCAAGTCACAATAAAAAAGTTTTGAGAAAATCTATTTTGATCAGAGATATAAGACTTTAAATTAAGGATTTAAAATGGCCGATTAAAGTAGATTTTCTCAAAACATTTATTTTGTGACTTTCGTACTTTTAGCACTAGCTCTTCACTTATTAGTTGTTAATAATTTTAAAACACTTCAATGAACTGTTTAACTTGTTCAATTTTTCAGTAGTAACCTTGGTGACTCAATTTTTATAGTATTTTTTCAGTATTTGTTTACATTTTTGTCCTTTCATATTTTCTACATATGAATTTGTTTTTTTGGTTTCTTATAGTTGAATAGCTGTTTTATGAGAAGTAAATCAAGTGTTAGTTCTGATTGAGCTATTTAATTCCAATGCTTCATTTTTGTTAAACAACTAATCTAATTCAAATAACATGTCTTACTCAAACCCTCGTTTGAATTATGTTGACTTTGCTCTCTTATCCATATTTAAATCAATTATCAATAGGTTATCAACATTATTATTTTAGCCAAGTAACCTGGTGGGAAGTCGGCTAGCAAATAGCTAGCTATAATTGTTACAATAAAGACAGCGATTCGGCCATGAGGATCGCTAGCTTTTTTAAGTTAGCGAAAAGCTATTGATATTTGTAAAGACAAAGACAGCAATTTGGCTACAAGGACAGCTAGCTTAATAAGCTGAAGACTTACAGGCTATTGTAGCTACTGTCATATCGTAATAAAATCGCTATCAAAACAATTTTGGTAGCGATTTTATCAACCAGCTATAGATTTGTAGATATTTTAGCTAGAACACAAAAAATGTTGCAATGTGTCGCTAGCTACAATATGTAGCTAGCGACACATTGCTACAAAATCGCAATGTTTAAAGTTCAATTATTCTCATAATTAAATTAGATTCAACACTAAAAATCGAATTTTTAAAAATGTTAGAGACATTAGTAAAGAATAAAATAAGAAAAAAAAACGTTTAAAAATCGCTATAAATCTAGCTAGTCGCTAGCTCATTTCCCACCGGGAAGCAATCAGCAAGTAAAAACAAAAATAACAAATACATAAATAAGAAAAAAAAAAAAATTAAATATGCAATATGCAAATGAAATAAAAGTTCTTCACTTGATGTAAAACTTTATTTAAACAAAACACACTTTTTTGTAATATATCATTATCGTTTATTTGAAAAAAAAACTTTCAAATAAAAAAATAACTTTTTTTATTTAGGGCTTCTTTTAAAACTTTATGAAAATATTTAATTTTCAAAATTAAATCGCAGAAACAAAAAATAATGTATTTATATGGCAAAATAGAAAAAAAAAAGTTTTAACCAATATGTTAACATTTTGACCTGTCAAGTTCTTTTTTTATATATTTTGACATTTATTATTAAAAATTTTAATACCTATTCTAATTTATTTTTCATTTACTTTTTTAATGTTTATAGTTAATAATTATTTAATTTTATAATTAGGTTCGCGAAGACAGCATAGTATTAAAAAGCACAAATGGAAATATTGTTGAGCACTGGTGGTATGAAAGTGTTGTTAATATGAGTTGCTCACCAAGAACAAAAGTTGTTTGTATATGGATACGTGCTGAGGAAGAAACTGCTTTGCATAAAATTTGCACTAGAAAGGTTTAAGGCTTTTTCAACTATTTCATAACTGTTTTTTTTTTTTAATTTTTTTAACTGGTTTAAAACGTGTAAAAATTGGATAAATGATATGATGTTTATAAACATATTTTTCCTGATGCCTCATGAAATTATTAAGCTATTTTTAACTGGTTTAAAATGCGTAAAAATTGAATAAATAATATTTAAAAACATTTTTTTCCAAATTCCTTATAAAATTTTAAGTCACTTTAAACTGGTTTAAAGTAAGGTGTAAAAGTTAGATAATGGCATGATCATAGTTAGACATTTTTCTCCTAATTTCTCTATAATATTGTATTATAACAACATTTTTATCAAAGTATTTAGACGTTACTCTTAAAAATCTTCAATGTTTTTCTTCAATAAAAAAAATTGGTGGGTTAGAAGCATAGAAAAATAGCTCCACGGGAAGTTGAACAAAGCAAAATTTCATTTCTATCAATGCATTTTTTTTAATAACTGTTTATATTTATATTTTTATTCATATATTTTGTCCATTATTTTATAGTTAATCTTAAATTTAATGCAATTGCAATAGTATTTTAGTATTTTATTTGTGGAAACTATTCAATTAAAAATTAGAAAAGTTATATTTCCACTTAAACTTTATTCACTTATTTGTGTACTATTTTCAAAACTTTTGCTTTAATGTCTCTTTTTTAAGAGCCATTTAACAAAAAATTGAAATTAATATAGATTAAGGTAAAAAAGTACAACTAACAAGAAATGTTAATCAATGTTACTTTGGCATTCAAGTTAAGTTATTTAGTAAAAACACTCTAATAATAATTGATTCACTTTATTCCTACTGAATTTATGTTACTTTATTAGCTATGATTTATCGAGTATACTAAATTATCAGCATAATTATGTTGATCTCTCTCTCTCTCTCTCTCTCTCTCTCTCTCTCTCTCTCTCTATATATATATATATATATATATATATATATATATATATATATATATATATATATATATATATATATATATATATATATATATATATATATATATATATATATATATAATAATAATAATAATAATAATAATAATAATAATAATAATAATAATAGCAATAATAATAATAATATTATATTATATTATATTAGAAATACTTATAAAACTGTTACATTGATTTAAATAAAAAAAAGTTTCAAGATTTTAATACTTTTATGATTTTTTATTGTGCAGTGTAAAAAGTTGTACAACTCAATTAAAGAAAGTATGCAAAAAGCAGCAGATCGATTAAATATTCGAGGAGTTGGTAAGGAAAGTAGACTATTTGATGAGTTGTTTAAAAAAGTAGAATAAGGAGATAGGAGTGAAATTTTAAAATAGAAAAGAGTGTTTAGAATATTATTAGAACAAGTATTAGAGAGTGTCAAGAAAGTTATTAGTGTCATTGTTTTTAAGATATGTTTTGATATTACTTTTAGGTGTTAATCTTGGTGGGAACTTTACAGTAGTGGTAGCTAGATTTTATTTTTATTTTTATATATCATATTAACATATACTAAGTACTAACTTTATATCTACTGCATAAATTACATAAATAATAATTAGTTAAGTAATTACAGCAGTAATAACTTTAAAGTCTAACGTTTTGTGTTCTTAAAAATATACATTAAATAGTTGTAATGAACACTTTTTTTATGTTATATTGCATTAACCAGCTCTCGGAATTAGGTTCGGCATTCGGCAATGCCGACCTAGAAGTGTTTAATGTCGGCAAAAAATTGCCGACCTCATTTCTATGTTTGTAGTAAAACCTTTGTAACAAATTTTTTATACCGACCTGATGCTGACCTCTAACAGAGTAATGTCGAAAAATTATTGCCGATGTCAATTTTTCTAATTCCGAGGGCTGGCATTTACTTATACTAAATCAATATAAAAAATATATCTATAAATATAAATGGGCAAGAAACCTCATGTTTTATAGCTATGATTATTTTTCACATTTTATTTTTATAGTTTGTTAACTATGAATGTAACAAATGCCATAAAAATTAATATATTAATGCTTGATGGCATTAAAGTATTTGTGATGCATCTTTATAATTTAATGTAGGACAATGCCACTGGACAGCAGGGAAAATTGAAAGTTTCTTTGGAAGGAGTGGACATCATTTTTGTGGACAAAAAGGTGAAACAACTAAGAGGTTGTGCAGCACGATGTTACTCTATATTACATAGTGTAACATTGTGTTACTTTGTTTAACAAGAGTTGCATTAAGGAAACATTGGTTTTATAGTAAATAGTTGTGCATGTTAAAGCTGTGTTATATGTATCTGTGTAACACATAATTGCATAATATATAGCTGTGTAACATGTAGTCGATTCACAGCTAGAAAACTTATAGCTGCATAACAAATAACTGAGTGACTTAATGCTTTATAAATTAAATTGTGCAAGAAGTTTAATCTAAACGTTAGAAAACAATGTTAAAAAGTTTTCAAAATGATTAGTTAAGTCTAGTTATGAAGTTTGTAATGTTCAGGTGTTGTTTTTTTTTCTGACATGGTTAACAACAAATACGTTTAAGGCATTTATTGATTTTTTAGGTTTCCATTGAAATCTCAAATTTAAAGAATTGTTGTGCAAAAGATAAGCTTCTAAAAGTGGAAGAATTTCGTAGGAAATTTTTTTTTTTTTTTTTTTTTTTTTTTTTGCTTTAGTCAATTCTCTTTATTTTTATTCTTTCTCTTGTAACTTTTTTTGTGTTTTAGTTCCACTTGACCAGACCATTCATGAACATAAGTTTTTTACTGCGCAGGTATTACCGTTATTAGACTTTTTTACCTTTTTTTTTTTTTTTTGAATTTTTGATCGAATTGAATTAAATTTTAACAATATTTTCATCACTTATTTTAGGCCAATGAAATCTGTTACGCAATTCTCTGTTTGTTTTCGTATGTTGCTGCTTCTAAACATGCATTAACTTCGGCCACCGGAAGTTTGGCGTCAGACAATTAACCAATATCTTCGAGAAAACCTTTTTGATTTGATGTATCTGTTTAGCGCACTTGTTGCCGTTAATTTTATTTATTCCCTACAGAAATGCCTTTAAAAGCTGATTGGAAATCCCATGTGACGCTTTTTACAATTATTCATTAGTTTTGTGTGCTCTTTAGGTCAGTCATGACTGCTTATTGTATTGTTGGGCTACGTCACTAATAAGTTGTGCAAAAGTTGGTTGTGTTTTTGAAAAGAAAGTTTTAAAGAATAACGCTTTAGGAGCTTCCAAACCGAAACTTTTTTAACATTAAAAACGTCTATTAGTATTACTATTTCTTTTAAATTGGTGGGCGACGTCACAAGTAAGTTGGCGCCTAGTTTTGCCTCATTAATTTTCTAAAATTGTAAAATATGTTTTATACTTTATTTTTTAAAGCTTTTATTGTTCTTAAATATATTTTTTGCTTTTTTTTTTTTAAAGTATATATTTTTTTCATTTTTAGAAGTTTAATTTTATTTTCATCTTCGTTACTTTTTTTTTTTTTTTTTTTTTACAGATGTAACCGGTTGGTTTTTTTACAGATGTAACCGGTGGTATTCTAATAAATTGTTATATAATATGATTTTATATAAAAAAATTTAAAATAATGTATATATTTACAAACGAAACGTTTTTATTTATCCTATGGAGAATATATTTAGTAAAAAAAAATTGAAGAGATGACCAAAAAAAATCATAATCATCAAAATAGTTTGTTCTAAAATATTATTTTAATTATGCAATTATATACGGAGGGCTGAGAATCAATGGTGTAAGTCAACAATAGTTAATTTTCAGTATCCATGATTTTGTGTTTTTGCACTATCGAAAAATCAGTAAATTATGAAGGTACTTTTGGTTTTCAACAGTTAACACAATAAAATTAAGTTGTAAACTATAATAATTGCTTATTTTTACCATTTCAACTTTTTATAATTTTTTTTTGTACCGTACTACCGAATTACAACGCTACTATGCATGTAACCACTGGTTACAAACACCAAAGAAGTCTATGTATTGCAATAAAAAGAAGGTATTTTACAAAAGCCTAAAGGTTGCAAAATCACCCAAAAACTTATAATAAAAAGTTGGCCAACGCACAGTGTTCAAAACGGTCAAAGAACAGCCAAATTTATTTATCTATTTAAAACAAAAAAACATATACATGTTTTCAGGGTTTTTCTGGAGTTCATTTTTGAGGTTAAAAGTTAAACCAAAAACGTTCTACTAGCTTTGTAATGCATATTTGGGCTGGGCATGTCAGTTTTTAAATTTTAATTTCAAAAACAGATTTATTTTTGTTGAAGAATTTAATGAGAATTTCAAATCTGCACACATACACATACAAACTAATGATGTCTTGTGGGTTACACCGTTAATATAACGTAGAAATATCTAAAGTATGACTAATTAAAGGAAAAAAATTGTTTTTTGTAAACGTTTTTTTGATGGATATGTTGAGTTCCAAGAAAATTTTATATCTAGGTAAAAGACATAAATAAATGACCGCAAAACGAAAATTTTTATGAAAGTTGTTTACAAACGAATTGAGCAATTTTTCTTATTTTAGACTCAGACCGAATGTGTTTATTTTGTATGGGAATCAGACCGTATGTGTTTAACTGTTTTATTTTTTTGAAATAAAACGAGTTCAAATTTACGAAGAACTTAACGTGGATTCTAAATTATTAAAAAAAAATGTCTTCTTTGATAATATTCTCTGCTTATTATAAACTAATACCAATTAGTTTGTAACAAGTACAACAAAAAGCCTTTACGAGGTAAAGATCGTCTGTGTTTTATCATACCTCAAAATTTAAAAAAAATTTTTGACGTTGACGAAATAAAATTTGAGGTTGACAAAATAAAATTTGAGGTTGATTTTCAAGTGTGCTTGTATTAGGTTAAGCAAAAAAAGTCAAACGTTTTTTAAATGGCGCTACTTGACTTTCTCTACCCTGTTTTTATAATTGATTATAATAAAATTATGCTTAATTAAAATCATATAAAAACATAGGTCTCAACATTTATGGAATGTACTACAATTTGATGTTAAAGTTTCAAAAGACACGGTTTTCAAAGTAAGGAGGTACAGTTGTCTTTATTTCTAAAAAAAAAGGTCTTTAAGAAAAAAGTGAGGCTGGGACCTTTTCCAAAGCCCCCAGCCCACGTGTCTTCGGCCCTGATTCAATAAGGCTCTGTTCAAAAACTTTCTTTAACACTGTTTTTATCTAAAAATCATTTAGAAAATCTTTTTGTAATTACATAAGCAGGTTTTTATTGTCAAAATTAAAACACTGAAACTCAATTCAATGTTTTTATGAATAAATATATATTTTTTTTAATAGTTTATAGGACATAAGTTTTTTAATAAGTTATTAGACATTTGTTTTTTAGATTTATAAAGGTGCGGTTTCTAGATAGCGTCATGTTTTTATAAATTTGCAATATTACAAATTCAATTATTTTCATAAATATGTTAAAACCAATACTAAAAATTGACTTTTTTAGGACGTAAAAGACAAAATGAAAAAATGCGAGAAAAAAAAAGTTGCTATAAAGCTAGCTGTGGCCAACTTTTGGTAAACAAAAGTATATGTTTAGGGAAGGTGTTAGGACGTTGGATTAAACGAAGACTCATAGTTTTTGCTTAAAACAGATTTGCTTTTTGTGTGTCAGTAAAAACCAGTCTGTTAACTTAGAGTACGAAAAAGATGGCTAAGATGTCAGTTGCTGATACTTAAGTATCATTTACATGATTCTGAATCAGCATATTTTTTTTTATCATAATCAAGCATAAAAACAGGGTGGTAGGGGATGTGTATAAGAAAGTTGAGTAGTGCTAAAAAGAGGTACATTAAGATCCAGTTATACGAATGAATAATCACAGACAAATACTTATGATTTGAATTAAAATCATGAGTCTTTTTTTTTTTTTTTTTTTTGATAAAGGTGTATTTAATTTAAGAATGTTATTTTTTAGTCAATTGGAAAATCTTAATTTAATTGATAAATAGCTTCTATTTATAAATTAAATTAAGATTTTGCAATTGACTAAAAAAGATAACAAATTCGTTTTTGCTCAAGTTTGTGGAAATTTTTTCATCGCAGCAGAAAGTTAAAAAATTAAAGCAATTATAAAACTCCACAAAATAATACTGTCAGTATTATTTAACTTTACATTTTTAATACTGTCAGTATTAAAAGTGTAGAGATTTGAATTTGTTTGTTATTTATCAAAGAAGCTATTTATCAATTAAATTAAGATTTTGCAATTGACTAAAAAATAACATTCTAAAATTAAATACATAAAAGTTCATTTTTATTGTAAATTCAATTAAAAATGAAAGATATTTTAACAAACTAAAATTGTAACAAAAAATGATTTTTGATGAGATAGTTTTAGGATTTGGTGATTGCGTGAAATATTTATGAATCCAAATAGATTACATACTTAATGTTACTGCACACATTAAATATATATAAAAAAAATTTACGGTTGTAATACCGTCCGTATTACTACCGAACCGTATTACTGTGGTTTTTGTTTACATCCCGAGTGAAAAGAGCTAGCATCATTTAATCTGTGGTACTACCATTTAACTTCTACTAAGTATTTAGCCATGATATATAGTATGTTGTGATAATGACTAAATGTAAATTGTATTATTATTTATTACAAAACTTTATTGTATTTTGCATTTTGTTTTTGGTTTATATGTATTTAATTTTAATAAAAACTTAACTAATAATGTTAATATGAGTAAACGCAATGCTACACAAAGTTTATTATCAAAATGGTTGGACAAACGCCCGAAAAATTAAATTACTAATGATATTTCTCTGAAATCGAGTAAATCAAATGTCGATATCGAAAAACGATTAAATTCTCCAGATCTACCACAGTGGTCACACCTCAATGTCTGCAAACGATTTAAGATTAGAATAGTCAACCACCTATTGTAAGTACATCAATGAATGTGTGTAATGAATTTACTACCGACGTTGGTTACTTTGTACTAAAAAAAGAAACTGTATCAAATTAAAATAAAATTACTGATACTATGAAACATAAATTGGTCTAAATCATATTTTTGTAGATTGAAAACATGATTAAGAAAAATGATAAGTCAAAATCGATTAATGGGTTTGGCTTTGCTGCATTTTCACAGGCATATTGTTATACCTATTGATGATATAATCGACACATTTTAAATAAATATTTAATTCAATTCAATTTGATACTTTTATTTTTATTTTATTTACGCGAAACGCGAATGAGTAACAGGAACAACACTAATCAACATTTTTTTTTTATATTGAAATAATATTGCAATTATATTTGCCAATACTGCCAATGTCTTGCAAAGGATTGGGAATATATTTGGCAATAATATCGCAATATTGACAATAAAATTGTAATTATATTGGCCATAACTTGCAATGGATTGGCAATATATAAGGCAAAAATATCACAATATTGACAATAAAATTGCAATTATATTGGGCAATAATCTCGTAATATTGACAGTAAAAATTACACGGGTGACAATATGAAAAGGGTGACGTCTTTTCAAATTTAAAAAAATATTTTTTTTCTTTTAGAAACACTTAACCCTAGGTTTAGGATGAAAATAGTATATTTATATCAAGACAAAACATTTAAAGCTTAGTCATGACCAAGAAATATAGACAAAGTAGTAACAATACTAAACAATAATATAGTGAAAGTAAAATCAAAAACGCAAGAACATCAAAGTATAATTTAAGTACTAAAGTTTAAATAATCTTAAGCTTACACACAGTGGTCCAGAAATGCCACTTTTGAGGCAAAAATCATATCTTCACCAATTTTGAAGATAATAAGCTAAAATTTTTAGTAAATGTTCATTATAATCTGGCCAACAATAACTGTTATTGTAATGTTGCTTTATATACCTCTGAAGGACATGCCAATAACACAAAACCAAAGACAAATTGAAAAACGAATAATAAACATGTCACACGTATTTCACATTAATTTTCAACTTTCTATTGACTATAAACAGTCACCAGAATGTTTGATACATTGTTTGATTGAATAAGTATAATACCTGTGCAGAGCACCAAGAACACATAGCATAATAAAACTTCCATTTAACTTATTTTAACAGAATTATGAATACCTTTTAACTAAATATTTTCTAGAGGACAAACTTCACATTTATAACGTTTTGGTGGATTACAAAAACATGCAGAGTATCACACCAAAGACAACACCAAGGACAGGTGCCAAGAACAAAAAGTAAGCACAACAACAATATATAAAGAATTAAAATAATTTCCAAGATTTATGGTACATTTATGAAAATTAGTGTATAGAATAAATGCTCTAAAATAACACACCAAGGACACATGACGTTACATGCAACATGCCTTTTACAATTGTACTTATATCTAGATGTTAAAATTTATTTCCAAAATACTAACAAAATGTAGTATTATAACAGTTTGACTTCCTGGTCAATTAATAAACAAAATCATCAAGAACACATTTTTTGTAAATACCTAGACATGAATAATCTGTGCATATAGTAGCACAGCAAGAACATACAATAACTTAAAAAGAACGCGTAATATTGGTT